CAGGAATGCCCAGCCTAGGAAAGAAATGGAAACCATGAACCACCAACATAGGAAAGAAATGGAATCCATGAAACAGATTCAGATATCCAGGAGATTAAAAATGCCACTGAAAGTGTTCACAGCAGAATGAGCCAATTTCAAGATAGAATATCAGATATAGAAGACAGGATGGCAGTCAGTGACTATGGAAAGAGAGATCTCTTAAAAATAGTATGGGACCATGTGAAATCAATCCAGCAGCTCCTAGATGATGCAAAGAAAAATAACACAAGACTGATAGGAGTTGAAGAAAAAGCAGAAGGAAGTAAAAATGACATAAAAAACTTCACAGAATTAATGAGAGAAAACTTCCCAAACAGAGCAAAAGAATTTGACATACAGATAAGTGAGGCATATAGAACACCAACTAGCCATGATAAAAAAATCTACACCTAGACATATAATAGTCAAGATCCTAGAAACCAAACAGAAGAACAAAATACTACAAGCAGTTACAGAAAAGAAACAAATCACATACAAAGGAAAGCCTATCAGAATCATAAGAGACTTTTCAACACAAACCCTTAAGTCAAGGAGAGCCTGGAGTGAGGTATTTCAACCCTAAAAGAAAACAAACTACAACCTAGATTGATGTATCCTACAAAAGTATCCTTCAAAATTGATGGGGAAATAAGATACTTCCATGACAAAAACACCTGAGAAACTTCATGAATACCAAACCAGAACTCCAAACAATTCTAAACAATATCCTAGAAAAAGACAATGAAGGTCATAACTCCATGAAGCCTAACAGAGGAAAGACATCAGGCAAGGCAACAAATTAAAAGGAGAGGGGGGAAAATAAAAAATAAAAGAGCCAACAACAAGAAAACAACATGGCAAGGATAAGTCAATATATATCAGTTATAACTATCAACGTTAATGGCCTCAATTCACCACTCAAAAGAAATAGATTGGCAGAATCCAGAAATCCAACAATATTCTGTATACAAGAAACAAACTTAATTCAAAAAGAAATTCACAAACTGAAAGTAAAAGGATGGAAAAGAGTTCTACATGTGACAGGAGCCTGGAAAAAAGGAGGGGTAGCTATCTTATTTGCAGACAAAGTAGATTTCAAACCAAAACTAATTAAGGGAGACAAAGAAGTTCACTACATCTTTGTAAAAGAAACAATCCAAGAGGAAGAGATGACAATCATAAATATATATGCAGAAAATACTAATGCCCCCAACTATACAAAACAAATATTAATGGACACAAAAAAGCAAATAAGCACTAATACAATTGTTGTGGGGAAGCTCAATAACCCACTGTCACAAATAGACAGATCATCTAGACAAAAAATCCACAACAAAATACTAGAACTGAACCAAGCTTTTGGACAAATGGACTTAATAGATCTCTATAGAGTGTTCCATCCCACAAAATCAGAATATACATTCTCTTCATCTTCACATGGGCCATTCTCCAAAATAGACCGCATGCTAGCTAAGTAAATGCATAAGAACTGAAGTGACCCCCTGTATATTATCAACCCAATTTCAATGAAATTGGAGATCAATAGCAAAAGAAACCATTAAGAATTTCTTAAATACATGGAAATTGAATAACACCCTTCTGAACAACCAATGGGTCACAGAGGAAATCAAAGAAGAGATTAGTCTCTACAATTAAATGATACTGCCAATACAACATATTGGAATCTATGGGACACAATGAAAGAAGTTTTATGAGAGAAATTCATACCAGTGAATACCCATACTAGGAAAACAGAGCAACCTCAAATAAACAATTTAATGCTGAACTTCAAGCTTCTAGAAAAAGAAGGGCAAGCCAAACTGAAAGCTCATACAAACAATGAAATTATAAAGATTAGAGCAGAAATCAATGCAATGGAGACTAAGAGAACCATACAAAAAAAATCAATGAATCAAAGAGTTGGTTTTTCAAAAGAATAAATAAAATCAATAAGCCTTTAGCCAACCTTATCAAGAAAAGGAACAAATCCATGCAATTAGAAAGGAAAAAGGTGAAGCCACAACAGATCCAGTGGAAATCCAAAGGATCGTCAATACCTACTTCAAGAAACTGTACTATAATAAAATTCTAAATACCCCAAATACAAATCTGTGAAATTGAAAACATAATTAAAAATTTACCAACAGAGAAAAGCCCAGGTCCTGATGGCTTCACTGCTGTATTCTACAAGACATTTAGAGAAGAATATTTGTCACTATTCTTTAAACCCTTCAATGAAATTGAAAAGGAAGCAACACTTCCAAAAGCATTCCTGGAAGCAAGTGTTACTTTGATTCCCAAAGCAGAGAAAGACCCAACCAAAAAAGAACTGCAGGCAAATCTCGCTAATGAACATAAATGCAAAA